ACAGCGGATGACTGCAAAAACATGCCAGAGGTCCAATACCGTATATTCTTGTTAGGTCGCGTTGTCTCCATACTAGTATGCCATACCAAGGTAGAACTGCAAACACGTCCCAGATCACCTCACCAGCTTCCTAGCCACCGGGCACAGCTCTATGTTCATCATCATAGGTGATACACCGAGTGCACAATATCGCGGATACCATGTCATGGTGCTCCAGTTGAAACTCAATGGTCTCTTCATACGACCTCTTCTCATGTCGTACAGGACATACCGCTAAAATGAGAATCAACGCATGGCCCCATACAGTATTCAGCATCGCTATATAATTACAGCCACATGCATGGCGCTGTGCACATGCATGGCGTTGAGCTGGCCAGGCTAGATCTCTTATATCATCTCATCTCATCTCATTTCCTTTTCAACAACACACTATAAGCGTCATCTTAACATACACCAGTGAGCTTGTCGCAGGTGGTTTTCATGTGGTGTGGCGCTGACACGGCACTGAGTCGTCAATGAGTGCCAAGTGTGCTTGCATGACGACAAGTTTTAAACGGATCAAGTTAGCGACCATGCTGCCCAGGAAAATCGTATGTAATAACCAATTCCTGGCAAAAAGCAACTCTCAATTACTCGCCCTAGCCAGGCTAACTATATCTGACGCGTCGATGTTGTATTGCTAACTTTAATTCTCTTCCATCCAATGTTCAATCAGACCCTTCCGCCTTGTAATTGTGCCATGTATCGGCACTGATATAGGGTGCTATAAATAACTGTTGACCTGGCAGCACCCATGGCCATAATCTTATATAGACATCTTACGCAGTCTGCTACTCCAACCCCCCATCGGTACGCAAAACCTAGTCCCTCGTCTGCAGCCCAATTTATCTTCCTTGGACCATGGCTCAGACGGACGCCTCGGCTATTATCCAGATACTATCAGACAAGTACGTGCTTACTACATTGAGTGGGATGCAGAAGAACTTATCAGAACTAGTTTTGCGGTCATATCTGTCAAGTTCGCAGCGCTTGGTATGCGTACATGTCACCTGCTTAATTCCATGATTTCCATAGCTTGTTACACAGCACTGCTCATATACGACGCTCTTCTCACACTGCCATCAGAGATCAGGCACATTTGGCGCAAGAACGTCAAAATCGGCACCATCATCTATATACTCGCTCGTTACCTGACCTTGGTTGTGTTTCTTATTATTATATATGTCGATCTATCTAACATATCCCTTGAGGTGATTACCAAGGTTCTCATGTGTCACAACCCTACTGATTTGAACGAGGATCTAGTATGACTTTCATTCCTTATGAAGATGCAACATAGTGACTCCAATCTTTGAAGGAAATGTAATACTATAATTCAGATAGGTAATGCTTTCAATGTCCTTCCTGTGATTGGAGTACAGGGTGAGTGATAATATCCATATACTTTCAATTAGAAATATTAACACAAGTTACTTTTCTAGGCCTTCTGCTAGCTCGCATGTATGCTATCTCCTCTCAGAATCAAAGAGTTTTGGGTGTTCTCGGGCTGCTTATTCTTGGTCCTATTATCACTCAAGTGGTATGTGCCTGTCCAGACTTTACATAAATAACATATATTCACTTCAGTGGATATAGTGTGTGTCTGTTTTGGAGAACTGCAATCTCACTAGTTCACAACTTAATACAGTGAATTTGTCAGTATAGACTAGGACTTTCTACCTAGGTTTATACTAAAAAATTCTCCAGGTGTAAGATATAGAGGCCTGGACTTGCCCAATCTGTCTCTGAATACCTTTGACAGTGGCTACCATCAATGGTGTTTCTATAATCCTTTTTGACACTGGAGTTGTGATAGTAACCATTCAGAGCTCAATTGAAACTTTGAAGCTTTGGCAGAAAGGTGAACTTCAGGATAAGAAATCTCTCATTAGTCTCGTGATTTACCAAGGTGAATGAATATACAATGTATTGCTTATATGTGTGGACATATCACTAATCTACGGGTAAGGCTTTGTCAGATATGGGTATGGAATATTGTTTCTATGATATTTGATATATCTGATTCACATTCAGATTTGTGCTTACAATTACCTTGGCTAATACTGTCACGCACAAGGTATGGTTACTTATAACCCTGTTGAGCTACAGAGTTCACTTGGTGCTCTCTCTCAATATAGGTGTTAAGGGTATGTAAGGTATTGAACAAGATAATAAAATGGCTAATATCAGCTCCTCGGTGATATAAAGTCAAGCCTTGATGGCATCTTAGGCCCTTTACAGAACAGGTATATTCTCACCAATTTAAGAAGAAAGACATGATAGTACTAACAGTGCACATATAGCTTGTCAGTGATTATCATCTGCCGGTTCCATCTAACTCTCCAAGAGAGACACAGTCAACTTCACAGCCCCTCATTGGCCACTCTTTCATTCTCCACCTTTCAAGCCACCAGACAAAGTGTTCACAATGCCATAGTGGCTGAATTTGGGAACCCGGACTTGAGCCAGGCATTTAGTACTGAGACCTTGGAGCATGGTGTGCCTGTTCAGGAAAGCCAGCATGAAGAGGCTGGGCCTGCTGGGATAGATTTGGATGAGTTTCCTTGGGCAACTGGATGTCCAGGAGATGGAGAAATGGCTGGGCCTATTGTCTCTGGTGAGTAGTTATTGTCTCCTTCAGGCACTGGTTAATGGTTCAGTAGAGCCTGGAAGACCAGCACAGATTGATGACAGCATCCAAACTACTGCATCATAACTGCAATTCCAATACAAACGTCTCAGCAGTCAAGATGCAGAGACTTACATTAACCACCCCATTCTGACCTTTCCATTCTACCAGGGTATTGCAGTGCTCTGCAATTAGCCGGAATAGAATATTTGGCGATCTACTTGTTCTGACCGCCCATATTGTCAAAAAACCATATATATATATATACTGTGACACTTCAAAGTTCACTGTGTTTGTAATTTATTCGTTGAATTTTTGGAAATACTTATTGACCAAATACTGATAATTCTGGGTGTAGAGAGGTTTCATTGTGCGTGGGCCACTCACACCCACCAAACTAAGACAAATATGTTCACCCGCATCTGACTCCATAGTCACAACCAGAAGCATGCTGTCAAGATTGGTTTTTAGGCGTTAACATTGTGTATTAGTAAACACAGCGAATGCCCGAATGACTTGTGCGAATAAGTATGCCATTCGGTGAAGAGGGCGAACCAATAAATGTTCACAAAATAAGAGGGCTACTCGAACGGAGCTCGCCTGATCTACAGTCGTAGCAAAATAGCCCATGGCACTTGACGATGCAACGTGCAAGGCATCATGGAAAGGTTGTCTAAGTGGCGACAATCCTTTCGCCGGCGAAGGCACTCCTTTGGAGCCCTTCGCCGACAGCAAGGGAAGTAATTCGAAGGCTAAGGTAACGAAGATGGAGTATGAGAACTCACCAGTGATGCCTAAGTCTTCTTCTGGTCAAAGATAGGAATCTACAAGAGAAGGCTTGAGACGATGATCACAGCGAGGTCAAGCTTGCACAAGATAGACGTATGATAATTGAACTGGGGAATATACATGCGAATGTAAACTACTTATATCGAATACTCGTATGGTAACAGCAAATAGGAAAGAGGCCGTCGTGAGTCAGGGGTGGATAGGGGTGTGCAGTCATGATACATATAGATGGAATAAACATACAATACAACGAAAGAAGGGTGCAAACATGAAACAACAGAGAGGAAAGGAGGCGAAGGCACCTATGTATGGAAATACACCTTGGGACCTGCATATACACCCCCCTGCATGGACTCTCCGTCTGCTGGGTTGATCCCACATGGCCTACGGGTAGAACGTCCCGCGAATGCATTCTGACCATATGAACACCTAAAGGGGTTGGATCGAGAAGGTGATGGGGCTAGTGATGAATCATCACGCCAGGTAAATGGTATCGATTGTGTGTGATGGTGTGCCTGCTGGCGAATGATGTGAGCAGCGAATATTTGTTCGGAGAATGGGGCGAACAGTGAAGGCAGGTTCCCGAAACCGGCAAAGGGCAATCAGAGCGAACACCGGAGTGGAGTGAGGAATGGGAGGATATAGTGACTGAGTATAGGAAATAAACGCATCATGACACATGAGACAGACATGGACATGGACATGGACAAACCCTGATGTCATCATTGTATGGTATGTACATGTCCACCTGTCCATTCTTCTCACATCATCCACTGCCCTACGCAAGACCACACATTTCACCCCTACTCCATTGAACAACCTTGCTTTACCTCCCCTCACACAACACACCCTCCCAGGATTCATATCTCCTGCAGCCCTCTCCCTCACATGGACATGAACATAATATCACTGGAGGCATATAATGATTTTCTGGTCTGAGAAACTGTTCTAAAAACTGTAAAGATATTCCAAGTTTTTTTAGTGTTTTCAATGTAAAAAAGCTTTAACGAAATTTTGTGTTTTTATTAGAATTTGTTGAGCAAGAAAATTGTAAACAAGTTCAAAGTTTTTTGCAGGGTTTTTTATGTCTTTTTATAAGTTTCTTTGTAAAAACCACAAAGAAAACCATAAAAAATCCTGATAAAAAATTTGAATTTTTTTACAATTTTCTTGCTCAACAAATTCTAATAAAAACACAAAATTTTATTATAGTTTTTTTTACATAAAAAAAACACAAAAAATATTTGGAAAATCTTTACAGTTTTTTGAACAGTTTTTCAGACCAGAAAACTTTTATATGCCTGCATTGTATGTTTCTGGTGTCTCTACCAGTGGAGGGGACGATTGGGGGGGGTGCGCATGGGCCGGGTGTAGGTAAGGCCAGCAAGAGCTGGAATGCAGGCAGTATACGTTTCTAGGATGAATGTTGAATTGGAGGAGAAGGGCCATGGCTTGGAATGATCGCCCGGTTCGACATACAGGAGAGTTTGGAGTGCAACTCAGTGATCGCCGCACACTATGTCTCGCAGCACACGGAATGCTCAGCAGCTTGGAACAGTAGGAAGCGCATGGGGCGCATAATCCCAAAGTCCCAGGATCGAAACCCTGGGGTTGCTACGCTGTTTCTGATTTTCGTTTGAGAAAAACATGAACGGCGGTCGGGCTTTCTTGGGAAGCTCGGTGTTGGACCGCACGAGTGCACCGCACCGCATGATACACGCCTCACACATGACGCAAAGACATGTACGGACATCATTCTTAGTCATGATATTGCAGGCGATATATGACAGGACAGGCCGAGATGGACGATAGAACACGAGAGCCAACCAGCACGTCAGCATAGGATCCGATGTCACATACGACACGATACCACAGCAGAACACGCCAAGATACAAATGTAGTGGTTAGATCCTGACGTCCGCCCGGCGTGCCGTCCTTGTTGAACACACCTCCGCGTCCTCGAGCAGCGCGCGGTCCACGATCGCGAGCGTGCGCTTGTGGAAGTGGGTGATGCGCGCGTTGGTGTCAGAATCGACGATAGTGTTGGGACTATCATGCGACGGGTGGAGGCGGCAGAGGCATTGGACGCGAAGGACGTGACGGTGCCGGACGCGTAGAAGGCGGAGGTGTCGGACCGCACGGAGGGCGTGGTCGGAGTCTGAGGTGGGGGGTGACGGCGGGGGGAGCAGAGCATCATGGCCTTGCGCTAGATCTACAGAGAACCGTGGATTGCCAAGCGTGGCTGTCGACGAGGAGGCCGTACCCAGGCGGTTGCGCGACGGGTGGGTGGGGACAAGCTGGAGCGGAGATTGAGTGGGTGGTTCGACTTTTGTGGGGGGCGGGCGGACACGATGAAGGTCTAATCTGATGCATGAGATCGTCTAGTGAAAGCAGGCAGAAATAGACCTACCCGTTCGAAGATATCCTTTTTTCTTGTGCTTCTTGTTTGAGTCCTCGGATGCTTTGGGGGCGTCGTCGTCGAGCTTGTCAAGTCTCTCGGTGAGTGCGGCGGGTAGGAAGGAGGAGAGTGTGGAGAGCATGTGGGTATAGCGGTGGGAAGAGAGGGGAGAGTGTTGTGATAAACGCAACTATTTCATTTCAAATCGTTTATATATAAAAGAAACTAATAAAGAAAGAAAGAAAAAATCAAAAAGAAACAGAAATTACATTTATGATAGACGTCGGTGCAGACGACGATCACACGAATTTATGACATGCTATATTACTCATAGATCGGGTAATGTACAGGAGTTCGAGCGTCGACCACGTGTGGTCGATCAGGGACGGCGCGCCTATCGAGTGATGGCATCGGCCAGGCCATAGGCACCGAGGGGTGCGGGCACCAAACGCCGCAGAGAACAATAGACTGCGCATGAGTACAGGGTGCTGTGGAGCAACCTGAGAAAGTCACCTGCAGTATACATACTCAATCAGCTGCCCCACAGGAAGGGCACAGAGACAGCGGCCCCATCTCCAAGCCCAGCATATATGCTGGGCAGGGTAGACTCAGATCCATTTTCTATTTGAATCCCATGACACGTCTGACTGATTACTATCGTAACATCATGTGAACAGGGGCTTTGTATACTAGGTACAGATCTCTATTACAAAGCCCAGACAATCCTAACACCATCCCCATCACCCCATGACTTTATGACTATAAATTAGTCACTCCTTAGTTACAAAGTAGTTTTTCGACCCATCCATCCAATATCTTGAACACTAGTAGTTACTATCAATATAGTATAAATAGCTAGTACAAATGTATGAATGAAATCATCCAGAATCGATTATTGTGCCTCCTGAAATTACTGTAGTCTTGTTTGATAGCTACAGAGCTCAGATCTTGATAGTTTATTCCAAATCTTCGTTGAGGGTCTACTATCACTGTTTACTCTATACTACCTTAAAAGCGAACGCTTTTGATTTGACTATCCCTTGGATCGACACCGTTCTTCTGTCGATGCAGTCACGTGACTCTCATTCATCAGTGCTGGATGCGCCTCGAAAGGCTTAGTCAGCACATAGAAGAGGGGCGAACGCAGTGGTTTCAATCACTGAGCAATAGATTCTACTTGTTAAAAGGCACCAATTGATACCTTAATCCAAAAGAGAGCACCAGGAGTCAGGCAATGACGCGCTCGTGATGGGAAATGTATCCGTAAGTGCGGTGACGTCCCACTTGAGGATAGCAGCCTGCACACGACACTCACCACCGTCGGAGGGTCCACTTGTATCCGACCAGCGTGTCCATCGCGCCGACCCATCGCATGCGCCGTCGGACCCCGCCCTGTGCTATCGCCAGCATGCTCCTCGAGACAGAGGTGTGGGCAGCGGTGCACGTCGATCAGTGGCAGTCTGCCCACGGAACGGGGGCTCGGCGGGCATGGGCATCGCCGTGGGCGCCTGTGGGTCTGAATTCCGGCGTGCGACTGTCGAGAAGCACACACGAAGTGCCAAGCCTGAATCTCGATCGATCTCGGCAAGTGCACTGCATGCGCCGACACCAGACCTGCCCCTGGTACCTGTATCCTCAGCGCCAACCAGCTCTCTGGAGCTCACAGTTGATGCGAGCCGCAACGGCGATGACAGGCTTGGCCATTCACGTGGGCTGTGCCTCGTCAGTGTCGACATTCTGGGGCACGACGTGACTGAGCGCTGAAACAATCTCTGCACCAGGAGTGTGCGACTCAACGAGCTTTGTATCGAGCCATGTCTTTGGAGCGCACTCGCTACCAGGCCCGTTGTCATGATTCGTTTATTCTGCGAATCATCCCTCAGCACAAGGCGAATGACTTCCCGAACCAGCGAACGACTTCCTGAACCAGCGAATATCTTGCCAAAATATTCATCGCCATACTGCTTTCTCATTCGCTGTTTGCATCATTCCTGCCAGCACGCCAGACCCACATGCTCAGGACGCATTCGGATAGTGTCAGTTGCAGCCTCCATGCAGGTTGGACTCAATGGGACTCGCACCACTGCAGGGCAGGACGAATTAGCTTCGCTGAAGTTTTCACTACACAGTTGTCATGACCCATTCATTTCTTGTATCCAGCTATCCCTGTTTTCCCTTTCACCACCACTCTTCCATGTTCGCTCGGCTTCGCTCCATTCAATCCTTGCTCCATTCACTATTCGCCACATTCGCCAAATGACCATTCGCTACTTGCATCATTTGCCAGTAGCCATGCCATCAAACACGATCGGCATCCTTTACCTGGATTGTTGGTTCATCACTGGTCCTATCATGAATTGCAAGGAGGTGCAGGCTGTCATGACTCATTTATTTCTTGTACCCAGCTATCCCTGTTGTCCCTTTCACCACTCTTACATGTTCGCGTGTCTTTGCTCCATTCACTCCTCGCTCCATTCGCTATTCGCCACATTCGCCATGTGACCATTCGCTACTCGCATCATTCGCCAGCAGGCACGCCATCAAACACGATCGACATCCTTTACCTGGATTGATGGTTCATCACTGGTCCCATCATCTTCTCAACTCAACCCCCTTTGGGTGTACCTATGTCCAGAATGCATTCGCGGGGCATCCTGACCAACCCAGCAGATGAAGAGTCCGTGCAGGGTGGTGTATATGCAGGTCCCAAGGCGTGTTTTCGTACATAGGGGCCTTTGCCTTCTTCCCTCTCCGTCGTTTCATGTTCACACCCCTCTTCCATTCTATTGGATGTCTATTCCATCTATTATGTATCCTGACCATGCACCCCTATCCAACCCTGACTCCAGACGGCCTCTTTCCTATTCGCTAGCACCATATGAGCATTCGGTATAAGTAGTCTACATTCGCATGTATATTCTCCAGTTTAATTATCATACGTCCATCTTGTGCAAACTTGACCTCGCTGTGATCATCGTCTTGAGCCTTCTCCTGTAGATTTCTATCTTCGACCAGAAGAGGACTTAGGCATCACTGGTGAGTTCTCATACTTCATCTTTGTTACCTTAGCCTTCGAGTTATTTTCTGTGCTGTCAGCGAAGGGCTCCAAAGGAGTGCCTTCGCGGGCGAAAGGATTGTCGCCACTTAGACAACCTTTCCGTGACACCTTGCACGTTACATCGTCAAGTGCCATGGGCTATTTCGCTATGACTGTAGATCAGGGTGAATTCCTTTTGAGTAACCCTCTTACTTCTTAACCCTTACCTCTTCGGTACTGTTCGCTGGACGATTCGCTAGATCGCACACGCTATTCGGGCATTCGCCACTAACATGCGATATTAACGCCTATAATCCAATCTTGACACCCGTCCGCATCGTTGAACCATCACAACCGCCGTCAAACCCCATACACGAGGCACGAGTGCTTGCGGCATGCATGGCCGCTGTAGGCGACATAACCCCGTCACGAGGCGGGTAGGCCAATGGTGGAGGCACTAGTAGCATGCCCATCCCATCGAAGGCGTGTCCACTGCCAGCCGTCCAATTGTTATACTGTTCATCCTTGCTCTGCATTTTCATTAGCTATGTCGCAGTTGCGGGGAACGCATGGAGCATGTCGTGCAGGAGTCTGTCGAGTGGGAGTTCCTCACGCACCCGTTGTTCATCGAGCATGCATACCCCCGCCTCGCACAGCCCGCCTCGAGTGGACATGTCGGACATCATAAGTCCAATATAGCAACTTCCGCAGTGGTCGCGTACGCTCGGTGCGCTCCATGATTAACCTCCCAACATGCTCGTCTAACATCAGCCGCGTATGGGAGGCCACCACCGAATGAACTATATGCGCCAGTCCGCCGCATTCGACGTCTATAGCTATGAGCTACAGCAGCATTCTAGGCCACGCGTCCACATTCACCTTTCCAGGAAATCGACAGAAATACACGTATACGTCGTCACAGGCCATAGCATACACCAGACACACTATAAAAGCCACGCTTCAAGAGGAGATACGCTACGTGTACTCCTGCCTTATCAAAATGCACGCGCGGTTGCTCAACCTCACATGACGTATCTCCGAAAATATGTAATGCGCGACATGTCCCGCAAACGCCGCAATGTTGGAGCTCCACCCCAGGGATCAGATCTCCCGCTATCCTTCACTACCTCCCCGTCTCGTTCGACCCTAGCGCTGATTGTGCTGGGCCATCACGTAGGCATG